ATCTTCCCTAAGTCCTATAAGCTTTTTCTTCTTTTTCTATTTCTTCTGTTACCTTTACATCTGTTTACTTTTTATATCTTAAGAGTAACATATATTACCATTTTCATTGTTGGTCATTATAAAGGCATAATTAATTAATTAATTTTTGTCTTTTTGAGACAGGGTCTTGCTCTGCAGTTCAGGGTGGCTTTGATCTCACTTTGTAGCCCAGGCTGGTCTTGAACTTTCAGTGAACCTTCTGCTTTAGCCTCCCGAGTGCCGGGATAACATGTATGCACCACCACACCCAGCTAAGAGACAGTTTATTTAAAATATTTGTACCATTTCTGAACAATCCATTTAGTCTAAAAGTAGAATTTCCATTTCAGTTGAGATAAAGGGAAGAAATTGGGAGTGGAACAGTCTTTAAATAAAAATCCTGCCTTAAATTTTCATGAACCTTTATAATAGTTACTAAAGTGAATTACTGAATGGTTATTTATTACAGTCATGGAATACTGACTAAAACACCTTCCTTGTAAGTCTCCATGCTTTGGGCATCTCTGCCACGTCCTCACTTTACTCTGTTTCTCTGTCTCCAACACTCCGTGCCATGGCCGTGTGTGTGTGTGTGTGTGTGTGTGTGTGTGTGTGTGTGTGTATTTGGATCCTTTTTTGGAGAGGGAAATGTGCCAAGTACTTTGAGTTAACATCCGTCTCCTTTGATCTTAGGGTGAAACCTTTCCTTCTTTCACTCAATGAGACATTAGTTGTAGTTTTATTATAGATGACTTTACTAGGTTAACAAAATAATCTTCTGGTCTTGGATTGTTGAGTATTTTCTTATGAAAAGGTACAAATGCTTTTCTGTATCTGTTAGACAAATTGTATTTTTTCCTTTGGCTTATTTTAGTTTACTGTATTAGTCAGCTCAAGCTGTCACATAAAATAATATTTTGTAGGTTCAAAGCCTAGGAAATCCAAGATAAGGTTCTGTCTGAGTTGGTTTTGGCTGAGCCTCTTTTCCTAGCTTGTAGATAACTCCTTTCTCACACTGGGAAGAGAGAGGCAATGATCTTCCATCTTCTTTCAGAAAACCACCCGTTCTACCTGATTAGGATCCCATCCCTGCAACTATTTAGTGATAATTATCTCTGGAAGCCCTGCCTCCAAGCATACTGTAGTTACAGTAGAGGTGAAAACTTCAACATGCTAGTTTTGTGGAAGGGAAGTTCAGTCTGTGGTAATTATACTGGGTGAGATTTGGATCTTCAGCTAACCTTGCATTCCTGGGCTATGGTGTAAAATCCTGTTTACACATTGCTCGATTTGGTTTGCTCATATTCATTTCAGCATTTTTACATTTGTATCATAAAGGAATATATATAGTTCTTTGACTTGCTTTTCTTGCAATGCATTTTGACATTAGGGTAACATCAGCTTCACAGAATGAACTGAATGGGGTTTCTTTATCTTTTTGCCAGAAGAGTTCATAAAGCATTGTGTGTAGAGATGGTGACATAAGTATACATGATGGCAGTATCTGTAGCTTTCTGACCAGCTTGTTAACTTACAAGTGTCTGAAGTTTTTCTTTAGGGTCTAAGTGATAGAGTGGTGTCGTACATGAAGTGGTAATAGAACAATACTCTGGTTCTGCTAATGCTGAAAACATTACATCTTATATGACACTTAAGATAAGTGAATAATATATAAAACTTCTGCTGTGTGATGGCCTTTGTTTTAATTAATAGTAAACACTTAATTTCTATGAAAAATATTTTTTGAAAGTTTTACTTTTCTTTTTAAAAAGAAATGCTTTTTAATGCTGGTCATAAAGATGAGGAGAGGGCCAGGGATTTAGCTCAGCAGTGTAAGCACCTGCTGGGCAGGCACAGGGTCATAACTTCAATCCCCAGTACCAAAAAACAAAAACAAAAAAAACCAATTACAAAATACACTTAAGGCTATTTTTAGTATTTCTCATGATTAATAAGTTTTATCATTACTTGACTGGAAGATTACTTGTTGAAGCTATGACAGTAGTGAAACATTAATTATTTACAGATTCTATTCAACAAGTACTTAATACAATTTTTGCCTAACAGCTTAAAATAATAATTCTTACTTACTTGTTTACTCTTACAAAAAATTAGCTTTTTAAGATTCTGTTGCTGAGACTGTCAGTAGTAGAGGGCTTACCTAGCATGTGCAAGGCCCAGGGGCTTGATGTCTAAAACCACCAAAAAAAGGAAAAAAGATTGTGTTGACCATAGTCAGGGTAGCTTGTATTAATATGGAAGATCATGTCAAGACCTTGGAAAACGGTAAAGGCAGTGAAGAAATGTGGGGTCTAGTGGAGTATTCCACAGAAACCAAAAAGAGAAACAGCTGCCAACCTAGAGTTCTCTGCTAAGTAAGTGTATTTTAAAAGGAAAGTGAAGTAACAATATTTTCAGGAGACAGAAATTAAGGGAATCTGTCACCAGCAGACTCTCACTAAAGGAAGAACTCAAAGGAGTTCTTCAGGCAGAAGGAAAATGATTCTGGATGGAAATTCAGAGATAACAGGAAGTGATGACGTTGGAGGGAAAGGTAAATACTACACAGGCAGTGTAAATGGGTCCACCACACTGCCGTGCAGGTTGGAGGGCAGCAAGTGAACTTAATTGCTTTTTTCTTTTCTTTTTCTTTCTTGCTTTTTTTTTTTTTATCGGTACCAAGGATTGAACTCATGACTGCCTGCTTGCAAGGCAGGTGCTTATGCCACTGAGCTAAATCCCCAGCCCAGTGGACTTAATTTCTAAGGACCCCAGATTGTTCATGATGAGACTAAAAACCAGAAGTCATTTTAAACTGGGCGTGGTGGCACACGCCTATAATCTTAGCACTCAGGAGGCTGAGGCGGGAGAATTGCCAGTTTTGAGGCCAGCCTGAGCTACATAACATTTCAAAAAACAAAAAATAAAAACAAACAAAAAGTCATTTTAGACTCTGGTAGTTTAGGTAGTTCAGGGGTGTTTGTTTTCATTTGTTACTCATATTAGTGTAGGAAAATATTCTATAATTGATAACCAGATTAACAGGGAAAAGTCAGAATAATACACAGTCCACAAGAAGCCAAGGAAGAGAAGAAAAAAGGGTATCATATAGGTAAGAGTAATAAAATATTTGAAAAGAAAAATGAACATTTAAGTCTGAGTATATCCAAGTAATATATTAAATGAAAGCAGATGTAGCACGTAAATTAAAAACACGTCCAGTGACTGGGGCATAGCTCGGGGTTAACTGCTTGCTTAGTAGGTGTCAAGCCCAGCATTGCTCCCCAGCACTGTAAATCCAAAGGAAAAGAAAAAATAAAGTAGTTTAATATTTTAGTGAATGTCCAAGACACAGAAATAAGTAAACAAAGAATAAACCCTACCCTAACCTCCAGATACAAGTTACAATACGCACAACCAGCTGGGCCTGGCCTCACATGCAAACAGCAGCAACCACAGGGACAGAACAGTAAGAAATTTCCTGTGTGTGGATCGGAAGAGTAACTGTTGGAAACGTGTCAGTTCTTCCCATACGTTTACAGTTATCTAGTGAGATCCCATTAAAATCTCAGAAGTTCAGGTCTGGGATACAGCTCAGTGACACAGCGCCTGCCTGCCTGGCAAGTGTGAGGTCCTGAGTTTGATTCCTGGTACTAAAAAGAAAACAAAAAAAATCTCAGAAGTTTTCTTCTTTCTTTTTTTCTTTTTTAGAAGTTTTCTTAAAATGAAAATTAAGCCAACTAAAAATAAAAATGGGAGGTTAGAAAGCTAAGAAGAACCAGGGTAATCTTACAAAAGGTCAAAGTGAGAGACTGTGTCTGAGCAGATGTCAAAACCTCCTAACCTGCATTCAGACAGTGGGCCTCGGCACACTGTTAGAGAGGCTGAGATAGGCCGGAAACTCCAGAGGCAGCACGCGGATGCTGTGGGGAAAGTGGTGCTGCGGAGAAGTGGAGAACTTTCCTGGGTTAACTGAGTACCATCTGAAGACACAAGGGAATTTTCTTGCACTCTGTATAAAAGTCAGCTAATGAAACTTCTAGAAAGATAGTACCGAGTATTGGTGAGGAAGAAGACCAGTGAAAGCTTCTAGAAACAAATAGAAGAAACTCTTCCTGACTTGGGGGTGTGGGGGTGGGTAAGGGAGCGTTTCCTAGGTACAAAAATCACTGGAAAAGGAAAAAAAAGAAGTAATACACTAGACTGCAGTACAGTTAAGAAGCAACAAAAGATGATTAAGAAAATTGAAGGACAAGAGGAATATACTTGTAACATACACAACTGAACAGAGAAGTTGTGTCCAGAATAAATACGGACTTTCTATAACTCAGGAAGAAAGAGAAAATCTATTTAAAAACTAGGAAGAGACTTGGAAGGCCCATCTTAAAAATAAAAAGATACGCAATGGCCACGAAATATGAAAGTTATCACAAAAATTACAGTTTAAAAATGACATAACATCTAGCATATTCTACCAGAGTTTAAATTGGAAAGTATTGGTGAGGAAGGAGACCAGCGTTACACCACTAGGAGGGGTATAAGTTGGCACAACCACATTGGAAGCCTAGCTTGCAGTTTGCACTACAGCAAAACAGAAGCAAACTCCATGGCCCTTATGTGCTACTCCTGGAAATAGACTCCTCAAAGGCACGTGGGTATTGGCACTGAGAGATACCTAAGGAGGTTCCTTCTCATTATTAGTAATAGCCAGATGTTGGAAGCAACACAAATGTCATCAAGAGCAGGACGGGTAAGTAAAGTGCAATGCAAACCTGAAAATGAGCAGCCTGCTGCACATGTAGAAGAGTATCCCACCGAGTTAGGCAAGAGAAGCTGAAAGTCAAAGAATGCCTGTTGTAGGGGCTGGGGATTTAGCTCAGCGGCATAAGCACCTGCCTTGCAAGCAGGTGGTTGTGAGTTTGATCCCCGGTACAGATAAAAAAAAAATGTCTGTTGTACGACTCCATTTGTATATGTTTCAGAACTTTTCAAAAGTACAGAATTAAAAATTAGGGAGCTGCATCTGTCGGCACACACCTGTAATCCCAGGACTCAAGCAGCGGAGGCAGGAGGATCACCGCAAGTTTGAAGCCAGGCGGGCTTCATGGTGAGTTCAAGACCAGCCTAAATTGCATAGCGAGATGAGACCCTGTCTTGAAAAACAATCAAAAATTAGGATTACACACCCAATCCTAGGCATACACCTGTAACTCAGCACTCAGGAGGCTGAACCAGGAGGACCATTGCGAGTTTGAGAACAGCCTGTGCTACAAAGTGAGTTCAAGGCCAGCCTGAACTGCATAGTGAGACCCTGTGTCCAAAAAGACAAACAATAACCCCCCCAAAAAACTCCCAGAATAACAGTTACTTTTGGGGAAGAGTAAGGAAATACTAGATTGGAGTGGGACATTGGATTTCTAGATGCTTACTGGGTTTTAGGGGTCGTTATGGATGTGTTTACTTTATGGTAATTTATTGAACAGTATGTATATGAGTTTTGTATTTTTTGTTTATGTTTTATATCAGTTCAAAAGTTCTAAAGAAATTGACCCTTCTGGAATTTTTATAGTGCAGTGGTTACTGCACTTCATGGAAATGAAGTTTTCTATTCACGTTGCTTTTTTTCTTTGTCTTGGCCCAGAGAGGACAAGGTTAATTTTAACTGGCTGTTTATTGGTTCCCTTGTGCCTTCGTCCCCTTAGCTCCTGGCAGTCTAGCACTGGCCATGGGTACCAGGCAGCGTGAGACCGGTGTGATCTATTGATAGAGGTCTGAGACGGCACTAGAGAAAACCTCTGTGGAGAGCCGGGAAGGAGATCACTCCAAGGCTCGTCCCAGTGACGGGAGCTTTTTCAGTTTTTCATCATCGAAAAACACTGTTCAGTTACAGACGACGGTTACAGTGCGCCCCTCCTGCTAGCGCAGCACAGTGAGCAAGGAATGAACTTCAGAGTTAGATTCAAGTCCTGCGTTTCTGAGTCCCAGGTTTGCAGCTGGTGCAGTTTTCTGGTGTACCCTCCCCCCGTCTCTCCTGTGATGGCGGGGCACTGTTCTCCCCCAGCGAGATTCACGCTTCTCCCAGGAACACATAGATAGCTGTCTTCTGTGACCATCTCACTATTGTTGATTCTTAAATATTCTGTTTTTCCTTTTAGCATTTGTTGAGTGCTGGGCACAGGAGAGTGGTCAGGCAGAACAGACAACAGATCATTCAGAGTGGACAACAGAGTGTGATTGACCCCAGCACCATGGACCGCTTCCTGCAGGACGTGCTGCAGCACCACCCCCACAACTACCAAGACACCAGGTGAGGTGGCACCCACAGCGTCCGTCACAGCAGGGGCCGGTGTCACGGCTCTGAGGCTTCTTCCAGTTAGGTTTAAATCAAGAGAAAGTGAGTTGTTTCGCTAGGCCAGCGCAGCAGTGCTGAGCTACACCACAGCTCCCGAGTAAGGTGTCGGGGCAGGAAGGGAAGAGTGATCGGGAGGAAAAACACGGAGGTGGAACTTCAGTACATGGGGAAAGGAGCGGAGGAAGGGGACCAAAAGTGAATTAGCTGTGTTCCGTACACGTCATCCATGACAGGTGTGACCACTGCATACTGCAAACAGGTAGTATGAAAAATACAGTGAAAGCTTATCCAGTCACTTCCACTTGCAATCTTTCTTGCTTGCTTTTTTTGAGCGACGGTCTCATTATGTAGCTGGGGCTTGAACTCACTTGTATGTTTTATATCAGTTCAAAAGTTCTAAAGAAATTGACCCTCGAACACATGGCTTACAAAAACGTTGCAAATGTTGCAAAAAATTTTTGTATCTTGTCTGTTAAGTCTAAAATATTAAGCCTAAAGTCACCACAGTCCAATGATTCGAAATAGGAAATTGCATGGGTATCACACTGTTAAATACGTTAAGGTGTGTCAGTGGTCCTTCTTCTAATACCTCTGGCCCAGAGTCCAGTCCAAAGTGATGACCCTGTGTCGCTGTCCTGTCCCCTGAGGCTCTGATCTTAAACATTTCTCAGTCTCTCTTTACTGTTAAGACCTTGATACTCCTGGGTTTTTTTTTCCCTGCCTACTTATTTTTGTATTTTTTCTTTTTCTTTTGGATTTTCACTTCCTGTAAGCAGCCATTGATTTATTTTTCCCCTCACAACAGTTTACTAGACCTTAACCAGAGTTCTGCCACAAGGAAGAGCTTTACTTGTTCTCTTGTTATTTTTTCAGATCAGTAGATTCATGGCTCATTCTCCTACCATTCCACCTAATCTGTCCATTTATTTTGTTACTGAAATTGTTCTTTAGTGTGAAACTGTGCAGATACTTTAAACCCTTGGATAGACGTTCCAGATAGGTAAAAAATTATGTATAATTAGCCTGTGTGAGCAAAATTGAACTTTTGCTCATTAATTGGTCATATTTTATCCTATGTATTGTATGTTCATATCCTTTGTCCAGTTTGCTATTGAGTTATTTATATATTTTGGACTATTACGATATGGAGAGTAGTTCCTTATATTTTAAGTCTGGGTGTTTGCTTAGAGTCTGTTACTTTTTAACTGTATGTGGTACCTCTCTGTCTTTTTTTCATATCCTTGTTCAGTTTATTTAGTTTTCAGTGCTGGTGCTCAGAGCCAGAGATTCATACGTGATAGGCAATCATTCTACCACCCAGCCCTTAGATATTTTTCATTATCTTGGAATTTGTTTTTGTATGTGGTACAAGGCAGGACTCGTATTTAATTTTTTAAAAATATTAAATGTATATCATTCCCGATATAAAATGTCATTACCAGCAACTAATTTCTGCATTAGTGTGTTTTTGCATCTTTTCTTGTTGCTGAGACCAAATGCCTGATACCCAGAGCTAAAAGGAGGAAAGGTTTATTTGAGCTCACAGTTCGTGGAGGTGTCGGTCCACATCTGCCAGCTCCCAAGGCTGGGGTGTGTGGCAGAGGGGCGTCACAGAGGAGAAACAGTTCAAGAAGAGCAGGCAGGAAGCAGGATTGAAAGCCCAGCTGGGGTTTCCCTTTTAAATCAGTCCATTCAGCCACACCCAGAACTGCACTAATCCAGCTGCCACACATCCTTAAATGATATTCAGACATCCTAGATCCAGCCACCTTCAGAAAGCCCCACCTGTGAGTGAGGTGACTTTGGAGGGATGTCTAGATAGGAGCCATAAAGGGGTGTGTGTTTATATATATGAGAAAAATACACATGAAAGTTTAAATGCCATTTTGTTCCTTTTAAAAAAACATGCCAGTGTTCCCTTGTTTATGAGTTCTGAATTACAGGGTTTATCATTTATTAGACCACATTCTCTTTTCCTCCCTTTACTAGACATTGTAGTTTTTTTTTTCTTTTTTCTTTTTTGTCTTTTTGAGACAGGGTTTTACTACGCAGTTCAGGCTGACCTTGAACTCACTTTTGTAGCCCAACTTGGCCTTGAACTCAGGTGATCCTCCTGCCTCAGCTTCCAGAATGCTGGGATTACAGGCCTGTACCAACATACCTGCTTATAGTTTTTCTTTTATTTTAGAAAATCCTGAAAATATAGTTCTTGCTATATTTTTGCTTCTTATTCACTAGCTTTTCTTTTTTTAAACTTACCTTTTTATTGGAGCAGTTTGATTGTTTTTTTCATCTGAAATCAGGTACTCAATTTCTGTTTGCAAATTCTTTTTCATAATGAAAATTGAGAGAGTTTTCGGTGTGATAATCTTACGCATGATATGGGAGTCTTCAGGAAAGACTGTCAAGAGTTCTACTGTAAAAAATAATTAATTATTAAATGTAAGGAATTAGGAGCCAAATTGGGTAACAAAACATGACATAGCCTGAGAGTTATGGCTGTGAGGCCTTGGTGAGACGGAGACCGTTGGGAGATAGAGGATGAGATGACCACTCAGGATGGTTAGATTTAGGGCTGGGAGGGCACCGCTTAGCTTGAGTGATGTGGAACCATGATGGCAGTCCAGCAACTTTCACCACTGTTGGGGTTGCCAAGAAGACCAGGTAGGGGCCACTCCACCTTGGTTGAAGTCCTTGGGATGATTTGCTGTAACAGGACTTTAGTAAGTATATCAGCAGTCTCCCTGGTTGTGGGAAAGGCTTTTGTCTATCCTGAAAAAGTACAAACAAAGGTGAGAAGATATTTGAGAGTTTGTGGCAGGGTATGTATGTAAAATCTACCTGCCAGTCCTGACTAGGGTGGGTTGTGTCAGAGAAATTGATGAATGGGAAAGGAAGGGGGTGCTATGTGTCCCTGAGGAGAATTTTTACTAGAGATGACAGGTGTAAGTTGTTGAGACCTCAGAGTGTCTGGGTCAGTCTGCATAAACACAAAGAAATAAATAAGCATTTTTAAGATCTATGACTGTAAAGTGAGTGGTGGAGGGAAGGATATGAGAGAGCATGGCACCACTGGGTGGACTGGGGTAGCAGCACTGTTGATTACCCTAAGGTTCTATACTAGGTGATAGGACTCATCAGGCTTGAGTACCAGGAGAATGGGAGTATTATAGGGTGAATGAGAAGGTTTTAGAAAACCATTGTCTAAAAGGCGCTTAATTATAGGTTTAAGTCCCTGTAAATATTTGGGAGCTATGGGATATTGGAGAACACAAGGAAAAATTGAAGGGCCCCTGAGATGAATTAAAATAGGCATGGCATGGGTAGCGCAAGTGGGATTGGAGGTATCTCAAACTATGGGATCGACCAGAGAAGAAGGGAGTCTGGAACATGCATGGAATAGGCCCTGTCTGTAAAGCTGCATGGGTTGGCCGGCAACGCCCACTATAGAGACAGGGCTTAATATAGCAGCCTGAAAACTCAGGAAGAACATGACCTCTATGTCCACAAGTACAGAGAATGTCTTACCTGAGGCCTCCAGTGGTATTTGGGGCTCTGAGAAGGACACCTTAATGGGGGCTGTGGGCCCCAAGCCCCATCAATCTTTAGCAGCAAGTCTGAGTAGATCAGTCAGCTATGAATCTGGTGGTGATGGGAGTCTCCTGTGGGGACAAGGAGTTGACGGCTTACCAACTCTCTGGTGTCTAGGACAGTTGCTCTTCCAATGGCCTTTGAGATTGCAATAGGGGCAAGGTCTCAGAAGAACACTGGGGTTGGGGCCCTGTATTGCCTAGTGTCCTTCTTTGTTGTATTGGAAGCATGGTCCAGGAGGGACTCAGGCAGCTCCACCTTGTCTCGGTTTACCTGTCTCAGAGCTCCAAGTGTCACTGCTAAAAGATCAAATTGTTATTTTTCCTTTTGATTTTTATCTCTGTTGTTGAAAACATGAAAAGCCATTTAAAGAAGGTCTCCCTGTGGGGTTTGAGGACCAAGTTTAGCCTTTTGTCTTGGGATCTGGCCCACAGGTGTCTGTCTCCTCTATAGTCACAAGACATCTGGTTTTTTTTTTTTTTTTTTTTGTCTTTTTCATTTCTATCGGTACCAGGGATCGAACTCATGACCGCCTGCTTGCAAGGCAGGTGCTTACACCACTGAGCTAAATCCCCAGCCCCTAGACATCTGGTTTTTATCTTGGGTAGGTGTAGAGCTTTAAGTCTAAAGGAGACAAAGGCAAAGAATCAAGTATGGAGGAGTCAAATAATACAATCAACAGGATATTTATGATTATAACTTTAGTAATGGCTTCTCATAAGGAGGATAAAGACAAGGTCCAGGGAATTTTAGAAACTGGCATGTCATTCATTTGTCATACACACATTTAGGTTTTACAATTATATAAGTACCTTTTATGCTGTTAGAATGTCTAATGCCATCTGATTTTTGGAAGATGGCCTGTTTTATTAATTTTAACTTTTTATTTAGGAGACAGATTAGCTGCAGTGTCATTCAACACCAGTTGAGTCTAGTTAATTATGGCCCCAATGTGCATCATATAATCTTTTTATGGAAAAGATCTGGTGGATCCCAGCAAAAAGAATCCAAAAGGAATTTATAATTATGTCTTGATTTTAGTTGTTGAACATCCAGAAGATTGATGACAGTGCAGTGCAGTAGAGGCAGTATGCTTAACATAGAACATTAAAAGGAACTATTATTTTCTATTAACCATGGGTGTTTTAACATTTGAGCACTGAAGAAATTTTTAACATTGTTTGGACTGCTCACTATTTAAGCATCTCTAAGTATAACATATACATTATATAAATTTTGTTTAAAAATTATCATTTGACTGGTGATCTCGTGTTGGTCTGACCTGAATCTCCTGGCTGAGCACAAAAAAAAGGCAGACGTCTGGATCTGAAAGAAAGCACTTGTCATCATAATCCCAATTTTAT